TTAAAGATATGGATAACTGCATGTATGTTTAAGTGTATAGGATTGATAACCATATTTCTAAGTTTTTGTTGGATAAGTTGAACAGAACTGGTTGCAATCTCACTGTTTGAATCCCCACTTTATATGCTGCACTTTAGTATCTTGAATAACTATTTGTAAGAAGACAATCTGTAATCATCAACTAGTGATTTCTTACTGCTTATTTTTTTCTTTGAACATATGTATTATTTCTACTCATTTTCTGTTTTGTTTAGTCTTTCTTTAAATAAAAAAATTTAAAAAGTACAAGCACATTCAATACACTACAAAAACAGTAACAATCAATTGTGATACTCATATGAAAACCTTTGTACCATAGTCTCTTTTTTTTAATTTATTACTTTATTTGTTAATATTAAGAAAAGGTAAAACAAATTTTCACAACAAAATAATGAAAAAGTAACAATTGTTGATAAATTACACAACATTATCTTTAGTCACTCAAGTACAAAATATGGGCATAAAAATTACTTCAATCAATATTAGCACAACCTTTCCTATTCAGTGAACTAAGTGACACTAGTGCATTTTTTCTTTTCCCTTCTATCCTATCTCTTTTCCCCTATTTTAGTTTCTTCTTTTTATTAAACAGTTTCCTTCCATTTCACAGTGACTGTTGTATATTTTGAACCTTATGGTTTCACATATGTCACTGTGGTGTGATGTTTTTCAATCCTTCTGGGAAGATAAACAGAAGGGGAATACCTGGGTTGAATGGGACCTCTAATCCTAATTTTTTGAGGAATCTCCACACTGATTTCCACAGTGTTTGTACTAATCTACTCTCTAACCAACAGTTGTAAAGGGTTTCTTTTTCCCTACAGAACCAGGAGCATTTTTATTGGTTGATATATTTTTTTAAAAAATTAAATGATTTTTTTAATGAAAAGGGAGAGGATGAGATAAAAGGGGGCATAACAACATAACAATACAGGTTAAAGCATAACACGTTCAGCAACCTAGTGCTTCACCACCAAATAACCCGACTTAATAGTAGTTACCATAGTGTCTTTTTCTTTGAAATACTTGCATATAACTTCATATGCTATAGCATCAAATATATCAAGACTGTGTAACACCATTCAAGTGGATGAAAGCATTGTAGAGTATTTAGAACCAGCCAACAGAAAAAAATGATCAATGGTTTCAATATTATCACTTTGCCTATAGCAATTTTGTTTATACTACCACATACGTTAAAGTCCAGCAAGTTACAACATAATAAAATCAATGGAGACAGAAGAACCATAATTTGGTACGGCTTTAAGACAAGATGTTATTAAATCAGCACTAGCTGTTATTATGTCTTATTTTCTTCAAAGTGGCTGTTCATTGCATCACCGGCCATGATATCAAACAGCCCCGAATAAAGCCATTCCAAGTAATGAGTGACGATTTTATAATTGTACCATACTCTCTTTAAATCAAAAACCTTGCTATCTAGAAAACTTTATTCTTTTGATGATGATCAACATAAATATATCACATAATACATTTTAAATACACATTTATTAGAGTGTCTCCCATAAGGCTATGAAGATCAGTGGGGTTTCCCATTAATGAACAAGAACTGGTTAGTGTTATTCTAGGCCTCGGCCTTTATTCATCAATTGGAATACTGTTCAATAATCTCTCTACCCTAAAGGATTTTTGTTTAATTAATAATTTTTGATGACTTATGAAAACCAAATTGCAACATTTAACATTGTTTTTGAACAGTGAGATACTTTAAAGTCATAATACATAAATTACATACATTTCATTTGCACAACCAGTTTTAGGATCATTTTTACCAGCTGACCACCTGGGTGGAAGCATGCTTTTAAATCTATAACCCAAATTCTTTTATAAACGAGTGATCCAAAAATACAAAAGGAAAAAGAAAAATCATTAAGCTCAAGTAAAAAACAGCTGTTTTTATTTGATATGACAAAGAAATAAATATACAGCTTAATGGACAGAAGAGACAAACATTACAAAATCAGAGTGCACTCAAATATATTTTTGACCAAATTAAATGATAACTTTACAATTTTAGAAGTTATAACTATAAATAGATGAATCAGATTATGTTGCAGGTCAGTTAACAGATCTCTTAAGAATTTGGAAGAAATAAAATTTTTTACATACAATCAGTATATGCTTTTGTATTTTGTTTTGTCTTAAGAATACTGGTAACTTATTGTCCCCTTTTTTCATGTAGCTTGTAGCTTGGTTATCTTTATACCCTGAGTCACCTACTCAGACCTTTGATTCTTGTTTTTGTTACCATCTCTTGGGCATCCTGAATCAATTTCTTTAGGTGGCCCCAGGTCAGGTCTAGCTCCATCTTTGTAGGTTGTGGCATGGTCTCTAAAGTATCGCTGTCACAGGACTGAGCATCAGCTTCTGGAGAGGAGGAACCTACTCCTTCTCTGGGTCTGGGTCCATGATAGAGCCATACTATGTGCTCTCGCACCCATATAGACTGTTCAGTATTCTCGCAAAAACACAAGCATATCCCAAGTAAATAGTGGGCTAGGACCCTTCCTAGCTTCTTTTTATTTACCAGATTGAATTGTCTTTCTGCTGCTGTAGTTCCATCCATAGAAAGATTTAAAAAGTTAATAGTATATACTATCAAGCAAAGTCTGTGGTTCATGCCATAGCATGCAGGAAGCATGACCAGCCAGGCTTTTGTCCCTCTGCCTGGGCAACTGAAACAAGCTACTACCTTGTGTTTTAGTTTCCTCTAGGCTGTGGTTGAATAACCTGAGTAATAGTTGCTGCCAAGGTAGCCCCCTACACACATGAGGAACCAATATCTACACAAATCCAAATCTCAGACAGCATAGCCCATTTTGGGGGGACTCTTAAAGCCTCTTTACACCATTTATTTGCATTTTCAAAGGCCAATTGATGAGTAGTTAACTTAAAGAATGACTATTTTATGAAGGGGGCAAATCTCAGCCTATGATGCAGCAAAATTTCCTTGAACTAAGGAGGTAGAAATTCTGCTTGTAACTCAGTTACAGTTACTGGGGTGGATGTTGTTCCACCATCTTTTTCCTGCTCAGGACTTGATTTTAAAATAGTGCTCCAAGCCAAATCCTTTGAGGTTGTCCCAACAAGCTCACAACCATTAAGACATGCTTTAATCAAAATCCACAGAAAAAGAGTAGATATACAAATCAGTAATATAACAGTTCCATATACATTTGTTTCTCGAGAATTTGTTTGCCTCCTGTTTGACAGCTGGTAAAATCAATACACCTCTTTTCTTTTTGTTTCTCACAAATTGTTTATCTCTTTGACCCTATGAGCCTGTTTCTCTCTTTGGTCCTTGTGAGCCTGTTTTTTCTTGCCCCAAGTTTTACACTTGATGATACTAATATCAGTACAATATTGATGCTATCAGTGTGTTTCTTCCTCTTTTGTGCACACAATGAGAAGTGTCCTCTTACCTACTATTTCTTTTTACCCTGGTCTATGTTGAGGCACCATATGTCTTGTCCAGCACAGCTCTCAAGTTTCTGGGAGGAAGGACAGTAAGAGCATGGACAATACACTGAAAGCAGCTGAGGTCAGGTGGAGCCCTCTTCAGATGGCAAGAAAGAAAGTGCTCAACCACCATATCACATTTATTTATACATTTGGCAGACTGATGTCACATCACTCCCCCTTTGTTTAGCAACCCATTGCTTGAATTGCCTCAGGTATTAGTGTTCTCTGAATTGAAGCATTTTGTTCACATGGCTTGCTTCCAGTGCTCTTTGTTCTTGAAAGGAGCTTGCCTCACTCCCACATGTGTGATCAGTTTCTAGCTTCAACCACTCTTGACACCTGGGCAACTTTGGGAGTGCCCTGTCTCAAAAATAAAGGCTGGAGGTAGGGAGTGGCTCAGTAATAAAACGCTGGCCTAGCATGGGTTTCACCCCCAATATTGTTTATAGAAGTGTGACAACCATAGCACAAAACACAACAAAAAGCAATGGAAGTATATTATGGTATAGTTCCTATACTGTATGCCAATTGGTATAAAACTATTTTAAGGTAAACAGTGGTGAGTTGAAGATGAATATTTCTAGCATAAATGCAAGAAACAAAGCAAAAACTAAGACAGGTAGTTAAAATTTAGTAGTGGAAATAAAATGGAAGCATGGGGGAAAATTTTATTGATCCAAAAAAGTAAAAAGCAAGTGAGATAAACAGGGGAAAAGAGTAACAAAATGATATTTTTAAACCTAGGCGTAATAGTGACAACACTAAATACAAGTGGTCTAAACATCTCAGTTAAAAAGGAGAGATTAAAAAAAGCAAAGCAGAGGTTAGAGCTGAGTGCGTGAATCAGTGATAGAGTACTTAGCTAGAATGTGCAAGGATCTGGACTCAGTCTTGGAGGTTGGGGACAGAGATGACCAGATTAGATAAACAAAACATTTATTTTACCATGGATGAATTACAAAAACATTATGCTAAGTAAAAAAAGGCAAATGATTACATTCTATATGTTAATATATGTTTACATGCAATTCTAGAAAAAGTAAAAAGAAAGCAGATTGGTGGTTGCTAGAGTCAGCAGTAAAGGAAGGTAATCAATGGAAGAGAGATGGGAGAGAACTTTTACCAGTGATGAAAATATTATATATTATGATCACATGAATGACTTATAGGACAATATATTTGCCAAAAGTTATGTGGCAAATATACAAGTGGTCTAAAAGTGACAACAAATGGTCACTGAAAATGTGTAAATTTTATTATGTGTAAATTACCTCATAATTGATATCACACAGATGATTATATGCATAAGGGAATTTAAGTAATATAAGGTTGAATAAAAACTTTAAACAAAATGGAAAAAAATCAGTGCTAGAAAACAAAATAGCTCTTTACCCTAAAAAATTATTTCAAAATGTTAAAAGTTAATATGATTGTTTGAAAAAAACTTTGTCTTTACTACATTTTTCTTTACCTGTCAGGTTGAACTAAAGCGAAAATACAATGACCATCATTCAAAATTGAGAGGACTTTTACCTGGCCGCCAATGGTATGAAATTCAAGCATACAGGGCCTTAAACCAGGCCCTAGGTAGGTAAGGATAGTAAAATTTTTATAACTGTTACTTCTGTCATCAGGGCTACGTGTAGAACTAGTATTGCTGGTTTTTTTTTTTTTTTTTTAAATGTTGGTAAAATTCTACCTAACTAGAATCCTAGGAATGCATATTTTTAATGTTAGCTGTCCCAAGTGGAAGTTGAAAAGAGTAAATAGAAGAAATTAGAACCAAATAAAACTCAACTTTAACTCAAAGAATTTTAACTTAAAGAATTTTTATGATTGGTTAAACAATGAATGGCATGCAAAAGTGCTCAGTAAATGCTGATTAAAGGAAGCTTACCAACAAACAACAAGTATTATCATGTGAACATCAAATCCCAGGCCACAGGCCAAGGATTTAGCTCAGCGGCTCAAGTGCTTGCCTGGTAAGTGCAACGTTGTGAGTTTGATCCCCAGCACCTAAATAAATAAATAAATCCCAGACCATGATTTTATAGGTAAAAGTCATTCATTCTTCTACCCTCAAGATGTCAGGAAACAAAATCAAGATAGCAGCCAATGTGAGGAGTTATTCTATTTGCAGACTCTACTTTTAGTCACTGAAGGTGTATAAACTCTTCATATCTGTTAAATTATATTTATTATATATAAACATCTATAGGATCTTAAAATTGCATTTTTTTGTACTTCAATGTAAAGAAAGCAACAGGAAAATATTTTTCATTTTAATGTTATTTGTAATATTTGGATAATGTGATTATAATCCATATTTTCTTGTGCCTTCCACACATGATGATAATATTTATGGATAACTTTGAAGCTGAAAGATATTGGATAAAGATAAAATAGTTTTTTAAAAAGTAGAAACTTGGAGTAAAGCATTTAACAAATCACTTCTAATAGCAGTGCATGTTGGTAATCCATTTTTTGTTTTGTTTTTGAGCTGGTTAGAGAGATTAAATTACTTGGCCAAGGTTACACAGTCATCAAATAGCCCTTCACATCTTGATCCTATCTAGTTTTTAATCCACAGGTTCTGCTTTTTCATTTTTATACTTCCAACCAGAAAAGTTGTCACCATTAAACATAAACACCTCCATATTAAACCATTAAACATACCTTTTCCTTTCATTACTCAGTGCATTTGCCATAAATTATGATATTATTCATTTGGCAAATTTAGCAATCAAGACTCTAGTTGAATGTCATAATTTTTATTTCTTTAACTTTAGCTATTTATACCTTAGGAAATCCATAGCATTTTGTATGTTCTCTCTATTATGGCACATGCTTACTATAATGTAATGGCTTATTTGTTTGCTTCCCTGTGTGCATGTAATACAGATTTGCATTCTCAGCAACCAACTGTGTCTCACCTTGGAATACACATGCTTCAGAAATGCTTGTGGGATCAGTAAAAAGTTCAGTACTGTCAGAGAGCCTCTTGAGCTTCAAAACACATTTTTCTAGGATCACATAAAAATCATATATCTGTTATACTGATATATAATACTGGACTCTTAGTATTTTATCAGTTTTTGTAAATGGAGAACCCAGTTGTTATTTTACTGATTTTCAATGAAAAATATCAACAAGTAACAAAGATTTTGAAAATTTACAATCAAGTGAATGTTATATATTTAAGAAATTCATAATGCATGTTAATTAATAAAAAATGTGATTATTGACTGTGCATGATACCACACATCTGTGATCTCAGCATTCAGGAGGTTGAGGCAAGGGAATCACTGAGTTCGAGGCTGGCCTGAGCTACATAGTGAGACCCTGTCTCAAAAACAAAAAAAAAAAAAAAAAAAAAAAAAAAAGACCAGAAAAAGTGGTTATCCTCCAAGGCACCCCTGTTATAAGGAAAACATCTAGAAAATCTATAACTACTTTGGTACATTAGATTGGGTAGTTTCTATAACTCTTAGATTGTTTATAGGAATGTGTAACTAGATCATCATTAATTTTCTGTCCATCTAGAAACCTGACTTTTATACTCAATGATACATATTTTTTTTATTTCCCCCTATTTTTTGGTAGGTGTATTCGACATAAAAATGACTGGGGAGCTCTTATTCTAGTGGATGATCGCTTCAGAAATAACCCAAGTCGCTATATATCTGGTAAGATTGCCAGCTGTGTTTAGAGTAATAGCTAGTGACTATCTGTGTTTTCATTGTAGTTTAAAAACAAAAAAACACGTAACATGAAATCTGCCTTAACTTTGTAAGTGTACAGTATAAAATTGTTAACTACATAGACACTGTAAGCCAGTTCACTCAAACTTTAATCTTGAATAACTGAAACTTTATACTGATTGAACAGCATTACCCCACTTTCTTCCTCCTCCCTACCCTAGTAACCCCCAGTGTACTTAGTGATTCTTTGAGTTTGACCACTTTGATTACTTATATAAGATATCTTATGTAAGTCGAATCAGGTAACATTTGTCTTACTGTCAACAGCTGATTTCACCAAACATAATGGTCCTTAAGGTTCATCCATGTTGAAATACCTGACAGGATTTTCTTCTTTTCTAGGGTCTAGAATAATAACTTTATGGTTTATGTTCAGGATGCCTCCCCTGCAAGCCTCATTGCAATCATGGCAGCCAAATCTAGGTTTTGGGATTGGTTTATCGTCTAGCGCTGGGATTGGTGGTGTGAGTGTTATACCCACCCAGGGATGGAGCCAGCATACAGTGTATGGGGAAGTGGGGAAAAGGCATATCTTTCTATCTTGCCTTGTTCATCTTTGCTGTTTGTGGCAGCCATGAATGGCTGCCTGAAAATGCCAGGCTGCCTTGTAGCCAGTTGAATGTGGACTGATACCTCAAAGAACCGTAAGAAATAAACCTTTTCTTCCCTAACTTTGAGCATCAGATATTTTGTCTCAGCAACAAGAAAAAAAAAAGCAACTAAGACATATACCATATTTTATCTATTTATCTGTGAATAGGTATTTAGATTATTTCTATCTGTTGGAAATTAGGACTAGTACTATAGTGGATATGGGAGTACAGATATCTCTTAAAGCCTTATTTCAATTGTCCGTCTAGTTAGCAATATTATACTGTACAAGTTAAGGCATATCTCATGTGTGTGTGTGTGTGTGTGTGTGTGTGTGTGTGTGTGTGTGTTTTAACTAAAATGCAAACACAAGATAGGATTGCTGAGTCATAGGATAATTTTAAATCAGTAGATATTTACCAAGGCCAATATTATTAAACTCTTCTGTCTTTTTTCCTAGGAGTTTTATAATATCAGATTAGATTTAAGTCTTGAATATATTTTTAGTAAAATTTTGTGTACTATTTATGGTAAGGACCTAATTTTGTTCATTTCATGTAGATATCTTGTTTTCCTAACATTTTATTTTTTTAAAATTCTTTTTATTTTAAAGAGGGTAAGATTAAACATAACAAAACAGATCATAAGAAAACAAAAAGAAACGCGGATTTCAAAGCAAGACCACCGGAGACCTTCACTGTCTATCATATTGTCTCTTGTTTTCTTCCAAATAGTTGTCCCCATCTTCACACACAGTGAATACATACTGAACAATATAGTACTAAACTGATCAGAACAGGATGATGAAGGCATTTTAGGTCTTCAAGACGAGAATAGGGGAATCAACAATGGCTGCCATAATGTCTCTCATTCTCTTCAGAATAGCTGTCCATATCTTTACATATATTGAAATTAAACAAACGAAAATAGACTAATATCACTCTGAACAGAGAATAATAGTGTTGCTAGATTTTATATCATAATGCTACAGAATTAGCACTGGATTATCAGGATTATCTTAGTGTATCTTCTGCAGAGTATCTGTTCATTACATCATGCATTATATAATCTATTCTCATAAACTGTTTAGAAGTTCTACACATGCGTGAATCTCTACATGTATACCTATCCTTTCTGTATTATAGGGAATAGCAGATCAAAACAAGACAACGAAACAAATTCCTAGAAAAACATGAAATGAAAAAGACATATAAAACCACAATACTAGGTGATCTACAGTAGTTACTATGATATTTCTTGTTATTTTCAATAGAATTGTCTATATCATCAGGCATAGTATAATTGAACATAGCACTATATAGCAATATTAATAAAAACACAACTTTAGAGACATTGTGGGACTTCAAAAGCAGTTAATCAAACCGGAATGGGTATCCCATTGCATCTTATCATCTTCAGAGTAGTTGCCTCTACTCTTAGACTTGATACTATCAAGCATACCAAATTTGAATAAAATCAGTCAAGACAAAACAGCGATCTAACAAACCAGCTTCAAATAAGATTAGTCATAGTAAGACAATGTAAGTAATACAGGGCTTCAGTTTAAGTTAATAGGAAATTAAGGATAGTTACTGTAGTATATCCTGCTATTTTTAAGATAGCTGTCTTATATCCTCAAATCTAGTGCGAGTAGACAGACTGGAACAGAATAAAATCAACTAAACAGAGCGATAAGACTAACGTGGCTTTTAAATCCTGATACACTAATGTTCTCTGCCTTCCTTCTTTAGACAATTCCTCCCCTTTCCCTTTCTCACAGTGCTTTATACATTTTGGGCCCCACTAACTCCTTTAGTTTTTAGATTAGGGAGGCAACCCATTATCTACCTAAGTGGTGCTGAACCTTTTTACCCCTGAGCTTGATCTTGAGCTGTATTCCTTTACATACTGAAGCCTCAAGGTTTTCCTTCCTTATAGCTGAGTAGTTCTCCACTACACAAAAGTATCATGACTTTTCAACCTATCTGTAGCTGCTGGACGAGCTGTCCCTACTTTTCTCTGTTTCCCTGTCACATAGAGCATCGTTTTCTCATCTTTGACTTTCGGTTTATTAATCCTCTTTCAGGTTGAATATATTTTCTATTCAGAGCATCACAGTGGACCCTATCCCCTAATCTACTCTGCCTGTGTTTTGTTAGTGTATCAAGGCCATCTATGTTAGAAATTATAGCCAACCTTCTCTGCCTCCTCTCTGCTATACTATTTTTCTGTTGTTGTCTACTTTTCTCCTTTATTTCACTGTCTGCCCTGTTCATTGAGGCCTCTCTGCCATTGTTGCTGGAATCCTGATGACTTTTTTCTCTCTCTCTAGAATGTCCTTCAGTATTTTTTGTAGGGTTGAATTGGTGGTCACGAACTCCCACAGTTCCTCTTTGTCATGGAAACATCTTGTTTCTCCATTAATTTTGAGAGACAGCAGGGTACATCAATCTGGGTTGGAGGTTATTTTCTTTCAGGGCTTGGAATACTTCACTCCAAGCTCTTCTTGATTTGATAGTTTGTGTTGAGAAGTCTGTCACGATTTTGATGGGTTTTCTTTTATAGGTGATGTTTCTTTTCTCTGACCCCCTTTAATATTCTGTTCTTGTGATAAATTTTGGGGATCTTGATTATTACATGTCTGGGTGTAGATCTGTTTTGGTTGTAGCTGGCTGGAGTTCTGTATGCCTCATTTACCTGGATATCATTTCCTTTTCCTGTGCTTCAGAAATTTTCCTTAATTATTCTGTGAATAGCCTTGTATTTCCTTTGTTTTTACTCCTGCTTCTCCGCTCTTGTTTTTTATTCTTAACTTACAGATCCTCTTGTCATCTTCTAGCCTTTGTATTGTTACTTTCTGGTTCCTTATTATTTTTAAGAGATCTTTTCTTTCACAATCACACATTGCAAATCTATCTTCAAGTTTTGAAAGTCTAATTTTAGTGTCTGCCAAGGAATTTTGCCAGCTTTCAATGGAGTTTTTAATTTCCTGGTAATCTATTTGTATCTGTTTCATGTATTCTAGATTTTGTTTATATTCTTCATCTAAGGTTTCTCTCCTTTTTCTGGGTTGCTCCATTCTTCCATCTGTGTCTTCTTGAGAGGGGTTTAGCATTTCTTTTATTAATCTTTTTATATCTTGCCTCACTTGAATTAGAATTTCAGTTTTAAGTTAGTCTATGAGGTAATGAAAGTATTTCTTTATTTCTGCCGATGCTGTGGCCAATATTGCATGATTGCTGCCCAGAATCTCTTCTGAATTTACCTCTCCTGGACTTATTTTCCCAGGGTCAGCGGCTGGAGTATTTGTCTTGTTTCTTTCTCTTGTCATGCTTCTGGTTTCTTTCAGACAGGTGTATGGTGGAGGTCTCAGGCCCTTTCTGTATTGCCTACAGTTTTTCTGAAGCATGCTGGTTAGGGGATTGCTGCCTTCTCCAGTTCACTGTTGATCTGAAGTGCACATAGGGATGGTGTGGGCTGGCCCTTCTCTGAGCCACTCAACTGGCGAGTGCCTTCAGCACGTTAGTCTGTGCCATGCAGACGTCACAGATTTGGGATGGTTTGGTCCCTGGCAGTTGGGTTCGTTCAGCGGTGTGACCCAGCCCAAGCAGGTCCCTCCAGTGTTTTTTTTGGGCCAGGGGCTGCTGACTGACGCCACTGCGGTTCCAGGTTCAGGCGTGGGACCCAATTCCTAGCACTCACCATGGATTACTGCAGCTCTCTACATGGGTTCCGCTCTCTGTTGTGCCAAATCCTCCCACCAAGTTGCCCTGGGCTCACTAACTCCCAATTTCGGTGGCCGCAACTTGAGCGCGACCATGAATTGTTTAACTCCAAGGCGTGCCCAGCACAGCACAGGACCTGTAAGAGCACGCGTCACAGCGCCTCTGGTTCCAGCCTTTTGTCCATGTTTTTCCTTCCTTCCTTTTTTTGTTTTTCCTCAGTTTCTTCCTGGGTCGTGAGAATCCCTCTCCTTTTACCTGGTCTTCTCCATGGTGTTAAATTCTAGCATCTGAGTTCTGCTCAAGAGAGGCTTTCTACCCTGCCACCTATCAAGCTGCCATCTTCAGGCCAGATCCTTCCTAGCATTTAAAAACTATTTTGTTTTATCAGTACATATTTCAATTCCTGTAATGTACAGTCATCTCAGGGAGTGGTTACATGTACATATTACTGCTTCCTATCGTTGTTTATGTACTTGTTGATATTACTTGTCTTAGCTCATGTTATGGTATATAAAGTTGACATTGGGTGCAGTTATTGGGATCCTATATAGGACACATCTTTTTTCCTCTCATTTTCCCCTTGTCTTTCTTACTCCTTGTCTTTGTTCC